AATCTTAGATATATTATGTTAAAAAAAAAAAAACCTTATAAAGCATCCCAGAAGTTTTTTTTTTTCAAATATTTATTTAGTTGTAAATGAACACACAGTATCTTTATTTATTTTTATGTGGTGCTAAGGATTGAACCCAGTGCCTCACACATGAGAGGCAAGCACTTTACCACTGAGCTACAGCCTCAGCCCCCATCCCGGAAGTTAATTTTTTTGAAAATAATTCCAGAGATTTCTTTTCAAAATATGTTATTATCATTAGCTGTACTTGTACACATAAATGGCAGTATGATGACTTGTGCCTGCTTTTTATTTAAACTCTGGAAAGTTCAGGGGAGAACACTCTTAAGAATATTGAGGTGACATTAGAGCAGCCATAAGTAAGATTTCTGAAAAAGTAGTCAAAATGTAACAATGATACGTCAAGAATTATACCTTAAAAAAAAAGTAGCTGAAATCATCACTTCTGTACTACTCATTAAGTTTGGAGACCACTTACTCTCTTATTAGAGGTCTCTGTTCTGGAAGGAACTTTATTGTGAAGATGAGAAGGGAGAACTTTTAAGGAACCTTGCAAGCTATTGCATTTTCTGGTAACCTTATACGTTAGGTGTATGCCTTAAGCTTTCATTGTGATAGTTTACTTAGGTCTTGGACCATCACCTTAGTTCATTTGTGAGAATGCTATTCCCTTTAGGGATATAAGCCAACTAATCTCTTGGTGCTTCTTTTTATTTCTCTCTAAAACTAATGAGTGTAGACAGAAACATCCAAGACAGTCTACAAATTGGTGGGCTTATGAGACTGAATCTGATGAATGAGTATTGTTTGGTTGTAATAGGTTTCAGTTACAACACTCTGCCTATGATGGTACAGCCTTCCCAAGGTTGAAGGGGATGATGCATGTAAAGGTAGGTTTAACTCCAGTTCCTTTGTCTCTCAGTTACCTCGTTACCTATGGAAACATTCATAGTTACTATATACTTGTGAATTTTTCTAGAGATAATACCTACATGTAGAGGCATATGATGTGTTTACCTTTTTCTTTCTATTTTAGAAAGACACCTGAATGGTTTTAAACATTGTTCTATGTCTGGCTTTATTTCATGTACTCTATCATGGGTATTATCCCACCTCAGTACAGATAGAGCCATCTCCTTTGTAATAACTACCTAGTGTTTTTTTCATATCCTATTTTTTCACTATCCTACTTCATTTCTTTTTTTTTCTTTCAGTTTTTTCTTCCATTTCCTTCTCTCCCCTACCTTTTCAATTAAATAATCCAATACAGACAACAATATAGTGTCATTTATGGAGACTCGTTAGCTGGGATTTAATTTTTATTTTGAAAGGGATTTATATTCACACCAATTACTATGTTTTAGGCACAGGTTATTTTTTCATAAGAAATAGCTTCCTTGTATAGGAACATGTATTTTAAGACTTTTGTTTTTAATTTTCCAGATGTGAAAAACTTAAAAGGGTTGACATTATTCTTAAAGAGTCTTCTCTATTCTCACAGGTCTTAGTTCAGGTCCTAATTTTCTTCCAGTTGTACTCTCATAATCTGTTTAACCAGTTCCCCATAGATGGGCATTTGGGTTGTACATAATTTTGTCTTTTTTCATTATATCATTTCATACTTTTGTAAATATATTTGAAAAAACACATTCTTTCAAAATTATTGGGTTAAATAATATAAATTTACGGATTTAATGGATATTGTCCACTATAAGGTGAAACTGATATATACAAACACAGCATACAAATGCGTGCTTCTCAACATACTAGATCATTAAATTAGTGAATTACTGACCTTTATCAGTCTAATAGAAAAAGGGATATAATTACCTTTTTTTATTTTTGGCAGTGCTGGAGTTCAAACTGTGAGCGTAGCACATACTAGGCAAGCATACTACTGAGTTCCACCCCCTCACCTTTTATTTTTTTAAATGTTTTCTTTTTTAGTTGTAGTTGGACACAGTAGCTTTATTTTATTTATTTATTTTTATGTGGTGCCGAGGATCAAATCCAGTGCCTCGCATATGCAAAGTAAGTGTTCTACTGCTGAGCCACAACTGCAACCCACTGATTATACTTTTAATTGGCATTTCTCTTACATTTGAGGTTGAAAATGTTTTTAATAAATTTGAGCTTTTTGTATATTCTTTCTATTAACATGCCTTCTTGTGTAGTTTTCTTTTGAGTTCTGGATCTTTTTCTTACTGATTTGAAGGTACTCTGTGGAAAAGCAAATTTGTGAACTGTGGTATTCTGACTTGTTTTGTTTTGATCTTTGTCAGAAATTGTCTTAATTTTTTATAATAGTTCTTCAGCAACTTTTTAATTGCTGTATAAAATTTTTTTCTGAGGTCAAATGTGTTTTATAGCTTTGGATTTTGTCTTATTCTCAGAAAGGCATTGCCAACTTTGAAATAATAAAACAAAATGAAACCTGCCTTTTCTACTGATATTTTTAGTGTTAATTAGATTTTAAAAATTTTTTTTAAATTAAAAAAATTTTATTTTTATAGTGCTGGGGATTGAACCTAGGCCCTTGCATGTTCTGATAAACATGCTTTACTGTTGAACTATACCATCACTCCTGACCCCAATTTTAAACCTCCATCTAGCTTTTGTTTTAATCCTCATTTTCTCCAATGATGTACAGTGCCACCTTTAGCTTATTCTAAATTTCTACATTGATTTGGATTTTTGGATTGTCCATATATAAGTGCCATTTTTAAAGTTAACTATTGAATTATGGCTTGAAATATTTTAAGACTTTTAAATAATTTTTGTTTATTCTTATTTATTGTTCCATGTGAGCTTTAGAATGATGTATGGTTTTGTTTTCTAAAATTGCTGGTATTTTAATTGATCTCATGTAATATTTAAAGATATATTTAGGGAGAAAAAAATTTTGTAATGCTGAGTTTAAGAACATGGTATTTATTCTCATTTTTTCATGTCATTTTTTTGTTCCCTAAGCATTAAAATTTTCTTTGTATAACTCTAATTATTAGATTTTCCTGGCATTCATTCATATTATTTGCAAATGGTAACAATATTTCCTCTTTTCTATATTTTATGTGTTTTCTTGACTAAATTATATTGGCCTGTACCTCTAGCACAATGTTAAATTTTTGTGGTGAAAATAGATATTCTTATTTTGTGTCTTTGGCAGGAATGGTGTTCTGTAATCATGAAGGAGTATCATTAATATTTCGGTTACCCTTAGGTTTGTCTTTTCCACATACTCCCGTCTTTTCTGTAGTCATTCTCTTTGATAATTCTGGGGCTTTTCTTTTGATTAAATATTTAAATAACCTAGTATGAATTGGTAGGAGGATAGGAAGCAGGTATATGTGGAAATTAGGGAAGTTTTTAGTGGATTGGAGACTGAGTCACAGTATTGTAGAGTTTTATAGGCTGACATTTCAGAATCATACAAGATCCGTAATGATAGCATAAATACAGAACTAATCAAAGCATATAGAGAAGATAAAATTGATATTTAATGTTATTATTTTGATTGATTGAATTGAGTAGATTATTGCATTTATTAAAGCCATTTTAGAGTATAAAATTCTATGGCAAAGCATACAAATTCACGCTAATGTTTACTTTAGACTAAGATGTAATTTTTTCAGCTTTAAGTTCCTGTGTCACTATTCTACTTAGGTAAAATAATTATCTCATTGTAGAATATTTAATTCCAAAAAACTTCAGCATCATTGAAGTAGAAATAGATACTGTGGATATTTAATGCCTTTTCCTTTGTGTATATAATTGCTTTCATTATATACATTTCAATAAGACACATGAAATTCAATCAATTGAAATGTCAATTTTAAGAGCTCATTGGAATGAAAATGAAAACATTACTGTACCTACATCTTGAAGATTATAAGAAGATTGCTAAATTAGATTTTATGTTATTGTGGTACTAATAGAAATGAGTCCTTTAAATTAAACAGAATTTAATGGTTTCCTCATTAAACTTTAGTTGGACGATTCTCCTAATTCTTTAGGGATGTGGTAAGGTCATCTATAAATGTAAAGTTCTTGCTTACTTGGAAAAGAAAGTGGAAAACATTGTGGAAAAACGTTGTTTTCTGTTTTAGTGGATTCATATAATAGAAATTGGAGGAATAGGGAAACATGAGAATGAATAGTGATAGCGTTCCTTGAGGAAACTTAAATAGAGCCCCTCCCTCACTTAGAGTTAACATGAATTACTTGAATGACTTAATGTTTACAACATAGTTTTAATTCCTTAAATGGAAATTATTTTATTTCTACTTTTAAAAAAATAACTCTGGCTCTTTCCTAGTCTCTCTGTTTTACTGAAGATAAAAGGTTTTTTTTTTATGGTTTATTTCCTGTAAGTAATTCTTCGGTGGGAAGCAGGAAAAGGCAGATGTCTCTGATTTTCTTTTTTTTCGCCTTTTACTTTCTTTTCTCCTGCATATAACAAATCCTAAAACAGATTTGAGAGGTTGGGAAGTTTTGTTATTTGTAGGGAAGGGCAAGGATAAAATCACTCAAGACAAAGAATTCCTTGTAAAATTTCAATATATGGTTAAACTGAGACTTTTAATTTGGAAGGAGATCATAATAGTTCATGTGATTTTGCTCCCCCTATCCCTTTACTCTTTATGAAATAAAGAAACCATCTCAAAAGTTTAAGAGAAAAACCCTGAGCAAACTACTGCATACCTTGCATTTGCTTGCATTGGCTGTTTTAGATGATCAGCTCTTAGAGGATCTGGACTATGAGTTGTAACATCCAGTCTGAATTAAACTGCATATAGGTGTCTTTTTTTTTTTTGGTCTCCTTGCAGTCTGTGCTTTTCTTTATTTTTATATACTTTGTGACAGATATGGAAAAAAATCATATATAATTATCCTATTTTCCAAAGATTCTTTGTTCAACTGAATTTTTAAAAATATGTATTTGGTCTAAATTGAGTTTTGTCTTTTTGTTCCCTACATAGGCCCAGATTGCCTTTCTTCAGGGGGAAAGGAAAGGTCAAGAAAATTTGAAAAAGGATCTGGTGAGGAGGATCAAAATGTTGGAATATGCTCTTAAACAGGAAAGGTAAATCAATAAAATGGAAGGTTGTGTTCTCTCAAATGACAAAATAATTTTTCCATCTTTCCTGAAGTAAATCCAAATTTTAATACTGTATATTCTTGAATTAAGGAGTATCTGTAATATTTTTATATATGGTTATAATATACTAATCTTTCTATGGTGATCAGTAAACTGGTTTATATGATTTCAAATCTTTTTCCTTTCTTAAGAAGTGTTTGTACTGACTGAACTGTCATTATCCATTTTTAAAGGGCTAAAATAGCTTTTGAATTGTAAATTGTGTCTATAAAGTTTCCTGTGATTTAATATGAATTTGATATAATTTCTTAAAAAAATTGATCAGATCTGGCAGCCTATGCTGAGAGTTTTATAGATTGTTTTTGGCATTTTATTGTTTTGTCATCAGCTATTCCTTTCTCTCTAGAAGCTAATTTTACATTTATTTTGCTAGTGTATAAGATATGTAAGTAATGATATTTGTGTCACAAGTTAAGGAAAATAGGTCATGAATGAGAGTTTTGCAAGTTATATGAATTAAGTTTATATACTTCAGTGGATGGTCTTTGGTTTTGTGTGTGTGTGTGTGTGTGTGTTTATGAGAAATCTAAAGCAGTTCATTGCTTTAGGTAATTAAGTATTTGGTAGTTGATATTGAAATTCTTTATTGTCAGTTTTTTGCTTTGTTTTGTAAATCACTTATTTTTTGAAGTTGGTAAATGGACTATTTGTAAAACTGCCATAAAATAGAACTTAGGTAGTATTTGTGAATATTGAGACATAAATATTTTTATTAGAACTTGTGTTCATCTTCATATAGGATCATTAAATAGTACCAGACTTTTTATCTCTTAGTAAAAAAAAAAAAATAGTGGGTTTTGGTTTTTTTTTTTTTTTTCATATTCTGAGAGGTTGGTTGAAAGTTGGAGAGATAAAAAGAAAAACATTTTTTGAAGTATGTAATCTGGGAATTTTTGACATCTTAGGCTTTCTAATTATAGGTTTAACCAAAGAAAGAATATTAGCGTTAATAATGGTAAATATTTTTTTAATAACTACTGTGTTCTAGGCCCTAAAGACTTAGAATTAAGTAATTTGCATAGAGAAGCAGAGTTATAGTAGAGCTGAGTTAGGTCCCTCAGGATTGGTTCTAAAACCTGTATTGTTTACCAGTATATTGTACTGTCTTGCAAGGTAGGAGAACTGAAATACACAAATACTGAAGTAACCAGAGCAGGTGCATGGGAGTGTATTCAGACTTGTGAACCACTAAAGTGTAAAGTGTGATAGTTTCTATGGTAGATGTATGTATAGGCTATACAAGGGGTCACAAAGAAGGGACTCGATATTATCTGGAAGTAGTAAGGAGGGCATAATTAGAGGAGGTGAGGCTTCAATAGCAACATAGATAATAAGAAGGTGCTTGCCAGTTAGGCAAGATGCAGGAAGTAGAACATGTTTGACCTGGAACAAAGCCTTTTGGTGTGTTCAGAAAATTGTAGTCATTGCGTGTAAAGAGTAGGGTGTTAGTTGTGATTTCATCACTGATAACATGGTAGGGGAGGGCCAAGTCAGATCATGGAGTTTAGAATACCGAAGGAGAGCTACCTAAGGAGTTCAGACTTTTACCTTACATGTGATAGGAAACATGGAAAATTTTCAAGTACTTTTTATTCCAAAATGATCTTCAACTAACAGCACCTTTTAAGTATAATAAATTAAGGAATAAAAAAACATTTCTTCAAGGCCTGGAGCTCTAGAATATTTCCAGTGTTTTCCATTCTAAAATTGTTTTCCTAATGCTTAAATGCCAAGAATTAAAAAGAAAATGTTTTTGATTGAGGAAAATTTGAGACCCAACAATGGAAAGACTAGTACCTTTTATGTACATCTCCAAGATTTAACAGATAATGTTTGTCATTCTTGTTTTAGCGTGGTCTGTATAAGAGTGAATTCCAGACATCTTGTCGTTTTGCCTATAAATACCTAAGAGCTAAAGCATGTGATGTTGTGTTGCTGTGCAGATTTTCTAAGTAGTCCCACTTTAATATAAAAAATTATTTGAGGGCTGGGTATGTGGCTCAAGCGGTAGCACGCTCGCCTGGCATGCGTGCGGCCCGGGTTCGATCCTCAGCACCACATACAAACAAAGATGTTGTGTCCGCCGAAAACTAAAAAATAATAAATAAATATTTAAAAAAATTCTCTCTCTCTTAAAAAATTATTTGAAAACTGAATCTTTATCATTGTGGCAATGAATTTATCAAAGTATTCCTTAAAGTGTAATAAAAGTTACAAAATAAGCAAATTTACAGTTAGGTTTTCAAGAATACAAAGTGTATAATCCAAGATTTATTCAGAAACATTTATTCTGAGGAGCTTCAAATACTATATAAAATACAGTTCTGAAACATTTCTCCAGTGTTGTTTTTCTCCATTCACTGCCACTTTCTTTTATCTGAATTAATGTAAGAATTCACCTGTCTTCCTTGCCTCTAATATTTCCATTTTCTAGTCCGTTTTCCTTATCCACAGGACTCACTTTCTGAAACACAAATGGAATAGTTATGTTATAGCCCTACTTAAAAATATCTAGCCGAATTCAAAGTTATTTTGCAACTAGGTCCTTTCTCTAGTCCCTTCACAGAACTCCATTCCTTCTAATACTAAATACACTGTAAAGCTGCTGTTTGACCCACTGTCTATTTTTCTTATTCACTTTTATGGCACTCCTTTTGACAGAAATACCCCCCTCTATTAATTCATTTGTCTGACTAGAAAATTCTTACTGTTCTTTTGAGGCTTAGATAAAATCATTATCTTCTTTTTGATAGCTTTATTTGACATGACCTATTATAGAATTAGATAATCCCTTATCTATATTCCTGTAGTACTTGATATAACCCTTGTAAGTTCTTATCATAGCGTGCTATAGTTATTATATTCCTGTCCCTTAGACATCTTCTTACTTCCATCCCTACCTGACTGCAAGCCACAGGTTATTCCCAGCAGTCAGCACACTGCCTTGTACGTTGTAGGAATTCAGTAATAGTTAATTGAAATTAGTCATTTTTTTAGCATCAACATTTAAGGTGTTATTGGGTATACTATGTTTTATTTCCAGCACATTATTATAACAGACCTTAACAACAAAGCTAGAATGAAACTTCTTTAGTTTATTATAGTTATCAAACAATTTTTTTCAATAAGTGCCAATTGGGGGGAACCTGACTCTTTTGTCAAATATGAATTGTTAGACATGAAATCTGCTTATTTATCCTGTAGTCAGAAGATAGTGAAGATACTTTGCTAGCACAATGAGCTTGAAGTATTAAAACAATGGGAAGCAATATGAGTGAGGAAGTATATTTTAACATTGGCTTCAAAAGTATATTATTAGGCTTAAGGAGGGTTTTGTAAAATATTTCTTAGTGAATTTAACAAGTCAGAAGAGAGAGCATGATTCAACAGTTCTTTACATATTTTGTTTTTATATGTGTGGGGCTGGGCATTGAAACCAGCCTTGTGCATGCTTATATAAATTCTTATGAAATGTTGGGTGTCTTTTTGTTTGTCTGTATTGGTACCAGGGATTGAACCCAGGGGTGCTTAACCACTGAGCCACATCCCCAGCACTTTTTATATTTTATTTAGAGACAGGTTCTCACTGAGTTGGTTAGGCCTCACTAAATTGCTGGGGCTGGCTTTGAATTTGTAATCCTCCTGCCTCAGCTTCTATCACTGGGATTACAGGTATGTGCCAAGATGCCCAGCAAAACATTACTTCTTAATGTTATTGTTTTTGTTATATTTATTTTGTAGAATGCTTTCTGTTCCTTCTTGTTAACTGCACTGCAGTTTTTCCTAAGACCACTAGAATGCACTAGAATGCAATATTTTCTGCTTATAAATGTGTGTCTTTTTCCTTTTTTGTTTTTATGTAGACATATAAATTCATAAATTTTCTTCTCACTTTATTTTAAAAGCCTTAATATAACCTTTCCTTAGACCATATAGGTTCAGTTGCTATTTGGGCTCCTATGGAAATAGTATTACTTTGTCTTATGGTAGATGAAGTATATTTCTGGAAAATCTGAAGAATGACAATGACATTAAGAATCTTGTTTACTTTCTGGTAATTGTAAGTCAAATTAATTATAAATCTTTACTACTTATGATCAACATTATTATAAATATGTTGAAATAGATTTAGAAAAAATTTAGTCTGGTGATAATATTTCTCATTAAGAAACATTGGAAATAGAAATCCCCAGTGAATAAAAAACAATTGAGACACAGGAAATAGAAATAACTTGGACCAAACATATTTACTAAAAAAATTTTTAAAAGATAGATACATACAGTTAATTAATCAAATAACTACAAAAATAGATCCCTTCTGCTTTAGTTTACTGATTTCCTTCCCAAGGAAATCATATTAGCTGATGGCTTATCTATCATGTATCTTTCCAAAATATTTTGTGCATGTGAAATTCTCTTTCCCACACACAAACACCCCCCCCCCAACACCCCTACACCCACACCACATACGGAAGCATGTTGTGTATAATATTTTAGATCTTGCATTTCTGCTTAAGCTTAGAGATCAGTTCATATTAGCATATAAATATTGTTGCTTCTTATTTTCTTCTTAATCGGTTACATGTTATTACAAAACCTTTTATACATATACATAGGCATAAAGACAGATAAGAAATATTCATGTACCCAGCATTAGTTGCCTGTAATTTTTATAGGTTTTTTTAAGACTCCTCTCTATATAAAACTGGCAAGTCAAAAATAAAAAGCTTTGATTTTTCTGTTGTAACTGCAAAATGAGTGTTATTGCAACATAATCATGAAAGATTTGAGTAACATATCTGACCAAATAATTTTCATTTCCTTTATATTTGAGTTATAAAAACATTAAATGCTTCAATTAATTTTTTAAATTATTTATTCTAATTTGTTATACATGACAGCAGAATGCATTTCAGTTTATATTACACATATAGAGCACAATTTTTCATGTTTCTGGTTGTACAGAAAGTAGAGTCACACCATTTGTGTCTTCATACATGTACTTAGGGTAATGATGTCCATTTCATTCTACCATCTTTCCTACCCCTATACCTCCTGACTTCCCCTCCATTCCCTTTGCCCTAATTTAAAGTTCCTCCATTCCTCCCATGCTCCTTCCCCCATCCCCATTATGGATCAGCATCCTCCTGTCAGAGAAAACATTTGGCATTTGTATTTGGGGGATTGGCTTACTTGGCATAATATTCTCAAACTCCATCCATTTACCTGCAAATGCCATGATTTTATTCTTTTTTAATGTTGAGTAATATTCCACTGTGTATATATACCACAGTTTCTTTATCAGTTCATCTAATGAAGGGTATTTAGGTTGGTTCCCCAATTTTGCTATTGTGAATTGTGCTGCTGTAAACATTGATGTGGCTGAGTTCGTGTAGTATGCTGTTTTTAAGTCCTTTGGGTATAAACCGAGGAGTGGGATAACTGGGTCAAATGGTGATTCCATTCCCAGTTTTCCAAGGATTCTCCATACTGCTTTCCATATTGGCTGTACCAATTTGCAGTCCCACCAGCAATGTATGAGTGTGCCTTTTCCCTCACATCCTCGCCAACACTTATTGTTCTTTATATTCTTAAATAACTGCCATATTGTCTGGATTGAGTTGAAATCTTAGTTTTGATTTGCATTTCTGTAATTGATAGAGATGTTGAATATTTTTTCATATATTTGTCGATTGATTGTATATTCTCTTCTGCAAAATGTCTCTTCAGTTCCTTGGCCTATTTGTTGATTGGGTTTTCTTGGTTTTTTTGCTGTTAAGATTTTTGAGTTCTTTATATATCCTGGAGATTAGTGCTCTATCTGATGTGCATGTGGTAAGAATTTGCTCTCATTCTGTGGGCTCTCTATTCCCCTCACTGATTGTTTCTTTTGCTGAGAAGATGCTTTTGAGTTTGAATTCATCCTGTTTATTGATTCTTGATTTTATTTCTTGTGCTATAGGAGTCTTATTAAGGAAGTTGGGGCCTAATCTGACGTGATGGAGATTTCGGCCTACTTTTTTTTCTAATAGACGCAGTGTCTCTAGTTTAATTCCTAGGTCCTTGATCTGCTTTGAGTTGAGTTTTATGCATGATGAGAGATAGGGGTTTAATTTGATTTTGTTTCATATGGATTTCCAGTTTTCCCAGCACCATTTGTTGAATAAGCTATCTTTTCTCCAACATATATGTTTTTGGCACCTTTGCCTAATATGAAATAACTGTAATTATGTGGGTTTGTCTCTGTGTTCTCTATTCCATACCATTGGTCTACAAGTCTGTTTTGGTGCCAATACAATGCAGTTTTTGTTACTATTGCTCTGTAATATAGTTTAAGATCTGGTATAGTGATGCTACCTGCTTCGCTCTTTCTGCTAAGGATTGCTTTAGCTATTCTGGGTCTCTTATTTTTCCAGATGAATTTCATGATTGTTTTTTCTATTTCTGTGAGGAATGTCATTCGGATTTTGATTGGGATTGCCTTAAATCTGTATAGTGCTTTTGGTAGTATGGTCATTTTGACAACATTAATTCTGCCTATCCAAGAACAAAGGAGATCTTTCCATCTTCTAAGGTCTTCTTTAATTTCTTCCTTTAGTGTTCTGTAGTTTTCATTGTAGAGGTCTTTCACCTCTTTCATTGATTCTCAAGCATTTTATTTAATTTTTTTGAGGTTATTGTAAATGAGCTGGTTTTCCTAGTTTCTCTTTCAGAGGATTTGTCACTGATATACAGAAATGCCTTTGATTTATGTGTGTTGATTTTATATACTTTATTAGTTCTATAAGTTTTCTGGTAGAGTTTTTTGGATCCTCTAGATACAGAATCATGTTGTCAGTGATAGTTTTTGAGTTCTTCTTTTCTTATGTTTATCCCTTTAATTTCTTTCGTCTAATTGCACTGGCTAGAGTTTCAAGAACTACATTGAATAGAAGTGATGAAAGAGGGCATTCCTGCCTTGTTCCAGTTTTTAGAGGGAATGCTTTCAATTTCTTTCCATTTAGAATGATGTTGGCCTGGAGCTTAGTGTAGATAGCTTTTACGATGTTGAGGTATGTTCCTGATATCTCTAGTTTTTCTAGTGTTTTGAACATGGGGGTGCTGTATTTGTCAAATACTTTTTCTGCATCTATTGAGATGATCATATGGTTCCTATCTTTAAGTCTGTTGATGTGATGAATTACATTTATTGATTTCCATATGTTGAACCAACCTTGCATCCCCAGGATGAACCCCACTTGATCGTGGTGTACTATCTTTTGATATGTTTTTGTATTCAGTTTGCCAGAATTTTAGCATCTATGTTCATTAGAGATATTGGTCTGAAGTTTTCTTTCTTTGATGTGTCTTTGTCTGGTTTTAGCATCAGGGTGATATTGGCCTCATAAATGTGTTTGGAAGTGTTCCTTTTTTTTTTTCTCTATTTCATGAAATAATTTGAGGAGGCTTCTGATGGCGTCTTCTATTTCATTGCTTGAAATTGATCTGTTTAAATTGTGTATATCATCCACATTCATCATATGACTCTAGATTTTTGTCAATGCCTTTGATATTTTCTGTTTTATTGGAGTACAAATTTTCATAAAAATTTCTGATTATCTTCTTATTCTGTACTGTAGTGTCCGTCAATAAATAATAATATTACAGTCAAATTGGAAATTTCTTCCTGTAGTGTCCATCAATAAATCAATAAATGTAATTAATCACATCAGTACACTTAAAGATAAGAATTATATGATCATATTTCCTTTTTCATCATGGATGTTAGTAATTTGAGTTTTCTCCCTCTCTTTGTTAGCATAGTTAAGGGTTTATCAGTTTATTTATTTTTTCAAAGAAACAACTTTTTGTTTTGTCATTTTTTAAAATTATTTCTTTTGTTTCAATTTCATTATTTCAGCTCTGATTTTAATTATTTCTTGTCTTCTGCTTTTGGTGTTAATTTATTATTCTTTTTCTAGGGCTTTAAGATGTAACATTAGTTCATTTATTTGACTTTTTCTTCTTCTAAGGAATGAACTTCATGCAATGAACTTTCCTCTTAGTACTGCCTTCATAATGTCCCAGATTTTTCAATATGTTGTATTAGTGTTCTCATTTACCTCTAAGAATTTTTTAATATCCTCTTTCATGTCTTTTGCAACCCATTGTTCATTCAATAGCATATTATTTAGTCTCCAGGTGTTGTAGTAGCTTTTATTTTTTTATCATTGATTTCTAATTTCATTCCATTGTGATCTGATAGAATGCAGGTTAGTATCTTTACTTTTTTGTATTTGCTAAGAGTTGCTTTGTGGAATAACAGGGTCTATTTTAGAGAAGGATCCATGTGCTGCTGAGAAGAAAGTGTATTTGCTTGTTGAATGAAATATTCTATATATGTCAGTAAAGTCTAAGTTATTGATTATATTATTGAGTTCTGTAGTTTCTTTGTTCAGCTTTTGTTTGGAAGATCTAGCCAGTGGTGAGAGGTGTGTTAAATTTACCCAGAATTATTGTGTTGTGGTTTATTTGAACTTGAGAAGAGTTTGTTTGATGAACGTAGATGCTCCATTGTTTGGGACATATATATTTATAATTGTTATGTCTTTGTTGATGTATGGTTCCCTTAAGGAGTATGCAATGTCTGTCTTTATCTCTTTTTATTAACTTTGGCTTGAAGTCTACTTTATTTGATATGATTTTTTATAAAGAAGAAAATCCTCTTTGACCATTTACTTTTTCTTCCTTCTGTAGTATTGCATTTGGTTTTTTAAATTATTGTTGTTTTATTATTATCTCAGTCTTAAAGCAATGAGTATTTATCATTGGCTTCAGTATTTTGGGGAGAAAATAAATCAAAATACATAAATGCATTAATCAGATATGGCCATTTTAAAAGTATCCTTTTAAAAATTTCTCTGTATCTGGATTATTTTTCTAATCTCGTGGTTAAATCTGACATGGTTAATTCAGATGGGTAAATCTCAGTAACCAGAAATAATGACATTTTGTTAACTTTTAGAAGGACACAGCCTTTTCATTGACAGATCTAAATAAAAGATAAAGGATATCTTGACTAAGAAAATTTTTTTTCATTACTACTAGAATATTTTATTCAATACTGATGATTCAATACTTTTAATAGTTCACCATAAGTATACATGGCAAATTGTAAATAATCTAAATTACTGTATTTTAAAAACAAAACAAAACTCAATTTTGGGAAAAGTTAATATTAACACATTTATTTCATAGTCCAACCCCCCTTTTTTATTGCTTTTGATTTATAGTAAAGTTCAATTTTAACTCATTAAGAAAATTTGAATACTGTTGAAACTAAAATGTTAGGTGGTTGATTTGAAATTACAGGAAGATTTATGATTCCTAGTGTTATTCATTATTATGATGACACTGATGTTATAACAACAAAAACAAAAGAGGCAGGTGTTTTTGTGATAATGACTTTAACACCATGGAAGACCTTAAGCCTTGAAAATTCTAGGAGTGTTAAGCCAGGACTACCACATAAACTGCTCCTGTTATATAACATAAAGTTAATTTAAATGAGTTTTAAGATGATTGATATTTTTGTCATTTCTTTGTTAGAGCCAAATACCACAAGTTGAAATATGGGACAGAATTGAATCAAGGAGATATGAAGCCTCCAAGCTATGATTCTGGTAAGTTAGTTTTAAAGGAAGCTTAAGTAATAAAAAGAAGTTAATGACTAATATTTTGTAGCAACAACATTTATAAATATAATTTAATTTCTAATCAGTTGCATGTTTTTCTGATCTGCTAATCTGTTGGCACTAATCATTTTGTATCCTGTAGATAATTTCCCACCACCTTCCTTCCTTTTCCTTCTTCCTCTTTCTTTTAGTTCCCCATTTTCTGCTTATGTTCTACACTTATTGGAAAGTTTCAGGCTTCATGGGGTAACATGCACCAACATAACCTTGTCTTGCTGGGTCCTTCTAGTATTAATGGAAACTTTGAGATGCACAGTACAAAGTACATGATGCCCTTGAAATCCTGAGAAAGAGTAGGAACTATGAAGGTAAGAGATTTCTTTTTCAAAGCACAGGGGAATTCCTAATCCTTTAAACCTGATTTAGCGCCTGCGTGGGGGATGGAAGCCAGATCACTCTGTGTGGTTTGGGGCTGAAAAGACCACATGGACACAGATTTTCAGAAAGGAGTGGCCATGGGGTGGGGGACGGCATGGCTCTGCCTCCTCAAGGGTCCTTTTCTGCTCTGGAAGGCAAGAGAGCCAGTGCACCCGGAATCGCTTTATTTATAGGGAAAAGACAACAAAGGACTTTCGATAGAATATTCTACATTGAATAAGGCAGGGGATAAGGTTTTAAGGGAGTTGCCCAGTCCCATTGGGTAACGCTCAAGTTATTTGCCAGCTGAACTTCATGAAGGTCATTTGCTTTGTACAGCGTATGGCATGTGATTCCAGTCCGACACCCCCTTTACTCAAGGCTGAGAAGGGATGCTTAGCTCATGGGCAGGGCGGCTCCCACACTGATTGCTCAGTTTCAGACTGTTTTGGCCTTTCTCATGCACAGAAAATTCTATCCTATAAGCAGAATGAATCAGAAATAACTTTCCTATGTTCATATATGAATACATGACCACATAATGTACAACCACAAGAATGGGAATTTATACTCCACATATGTATGATAAGTCAAATTACATTCTACTATCATGTATAACTAAAAATAATAATATCTTTCCCCTACCTTCCTCTTTACCCACCTAATAATAGAAAGTAGTACTTGTAAACAATATAGATATAATTCACTTATTAGTAGGTATAAGGGAAAGTGAGAAAAACTGTTCAGAAGTTATCACATAAGTGAATTTTTGGCATGATTTCAGATTAAATTCCTCAAATATCTAAGGATTTTTTTCTTCATATTTCAAGTACTGAAAACTGTAATTTATATCACTTGCTGAAATTTCTACCTATGCTAGGAGCTTTAGAAACTATAATTATTTTATTATTATTTTTAGTTATACATGATAGTAGAATGTAATTTGACTTATCATACATATGTGGAGTATAAATTCCCATTCTTGTGGTTGTTCATATATGAACATAGGAAAGTTATTTCTGATTCATTCTGCTGTCTTCCGCATTCCCATCTCCCCTCCCTTCTCCCCATTCCCCCTTCCCTGGTCCCAGTCTGGTTAACCTCCACCAACACCCCCTCCTTGTGAGTCAGCATCTACATATCAGAATGTTCAACCTTTGTTTTGGGAGGGATTGGCTTATTTCGCTTAGCATGATAGCTTCTAGTTCTATCCATATACCTGCAAATGCCATAATTTCGTTCTTCTTTATACCTGAATAATATTCCACTGTATATATTTACCACATTTTCTTTATCCATTCATCTATTTAAGGGTACCTGGGTTGGTTCCATAGCTTAGATATTGTGAATTGAGCTCTTATAAACATTGATGTGGCCATATCATTATAGTATGCTGATTTGAGGAGTACAATAACTGGGTCAAATAGTGGTTCCATTCCAAGTAGAAACTATAATTCTTAAAATAGTTATTCAGTAAATAAAATATTGTTCTCATGTCACGTATGTGTAATTTTAGCTCACAGAAGTGGACACATTTTCCAAATTTCCATTAAATGATGAAGTGTAGAGCTGAATCCAGGTCTACCTGAAAAGAAAACTGATAAGGACTACTTTAATGTCAGAAGAAAGACCAGGAGAGTAGAAACTAACAGAAGAGAGAGTTCCAAAGGAAGGAATGTTCATCACTGCTGATGAATTAATTCCTAGAGGGCTAAAGAGTATCTGTCAGATTAGTGGCACACAGGTCATTCATTTGGTCACTGAGAACATAATTGGAAACAGGTGATGGCAGAATTGAAGATGTCAGTATAAAATGAAGACCAAATGCAGTCAGCGTTTTAGACGCTTAGCTTATGAAAGTGAGGAAGGACTGAAGGGCAACAGCTAAAAGATAACCTGGGGTCAGAGAGACTGTGCGTAGGTGGTTGGGGCAGGGTTCATAAATAAGGAGCCAATAAAAGGGAAAGAGTAGATATACTCAGATTAGGAAGGTTTCTGAAGAAATGACTGGGATTGGATTCTGAACATAACGGCAGACACATTGGAGGAAGAACATATTTCTTGTTATTATCAAGAGAGAAACATAGAAAGTCAGGTAACAGATTGTAAGTTTGAGTTTCACTTTGGATGGTGGGTATTTGAGGGAATGTCCTCTTGATAGCTTTATGTATGAGACATTATCTACAAAGAGTTGATCAGACTTTTAAGAAAAGCAGAGAAAGTTTATAATACTGTTTGTGAAGAGGAAGACAAATTCACTAGGAGTTAGTAGCACTGAGAAAACCTAAGGGTTTGGTTAAGTTGTTGCTTTGTTGCAAAAGTCATTTTTCTTTAAAGAAATTTAAATAATAATATGAAAATTATATCTCTAGTACTCATAATGCCTTTGTATAGAACTGTATTTCCATCTGGCATCATTTTTCTCCTCCCTTTAAGACTTCTTTTAACATATTTTGTAATATGGGATGCTGGTAATAAGTTTTTTCAGCTTTTGTATATCTGATAAAGGTTTTATCTTGCTATCATTGTTTCTAATAAGATGTCTGCTATTATGCTTATCTTCGTTCCTCTGTATATAATGTACCCCTTTTTTTTGGCTGCTTTTAAGATTTTCTCTTTATCATTGGTTCTAAACAAATTTCTTTGTTTCTTTCTCTTTTTTTTTTAACTGAGGAATAATAAACCTAGGGCCTTGCATAGGCTAGGGAAATCCTGTACCATTGAACAACATCTCAGCCCTTTTATTTTAAGACAGGGTATCACAAAGTTGCTGAGGCTGGCCTTGAATTTAGGATCCTCCTGCCTTGGCCTTCCAAGTACCTGGGATTATAGGCATGTGCCACCATATTTAGCTAAAAAAGTTTATTATGATGTTCTGTAAAATAAAATAAAAATGTTTATTATGATATAAAAGTGTTTACTGTGATGTACTGTAGTTACTTCTCTCTACAGTGTTTTGTAGGCTTGGGGTTTAATGAGTTTCTTTGACCAGTGGGTTTATAGTTTTTATGAAATCTGGAACTTTTTGGTCATTATTTCTTCAGATACTGTCTTTGTTTTTCCTCCCTGTTGAAAAGCTAGAAACTCCTAGAAACTCTTTTATCAAGGCAGTAGCTGGGACAGTCATAAGGTTCATCCCTTTGCTTGCCTTCTCTCAAGAATCACTATCTTTTGGAAAACATTGTTTCATTTGTTTTTGTTTGTTTATTGGTGCTAGGGATTAAACCCATGGATGTTTAACCAGAGTCACATCCTGAGCCATTTTCATTGTTTATTTAGAGACAGGGCTTTGCTAAGGACCCACTAAATTTCTGAGGCTGATCTCAAACTTGTGATTCTACTACCTTAGTTGCTGAAATTATAGGTGTGTGCCACTGTGCCAGCTCATTTGTTTTGTTTCAGGCAGGAGGGTAAATGCAGTCCCTGTTACAGAAACTATACTGGATGTTGCAGTCATATTATCAAGAAATTAAACTATTAGCTACTTTATTTATTGATTTATTTTGGTACTGGGGATTGAACCCAGGTGTGCATTACCACTGAGCTACGTTTCCAGTCATTTTTGTTTTGTTTTGTTTTGAGACAGGATCTCACTAACTTACTGAGGTTGGCCTTGAACTTCTGGTCCTTCTGACTTAGCCTCCTGAGTCACCAGGATTATAGGTGTTCTCCATTGTGCCAGAGCTACCTTAAAATCCTTACTTTAATATAAAGCTAATTTTTAAATTTCGTAAGGCAAAAATGAATCTGATAGTTGATAATTACTTACTAGAAAGGACTACATCTTGGCCTACCATGTAAGAATAAGAGTAATTTGTCTTTTAAGAGTATGGAAGTGCATTATTTTTTGACTGGTCTTAACTTACTTTTTATTAAGGCATAATTTTTTAAGGTATAATTTCTGTACAGTAAAATTTATCATCCTTAGTGTTTTCACAAACACATAGTCTTATAGCTATGATTCTTTGTAGTCAACCCTTCCTTCCCCACTAATCTACTGGCAACCACTAAACTATTTTCCATTTTTATACTTTGGCCTTTTCCAGAATCATGAATTTAAGAATCTTATAGAATATAGCCTTTTGGGGGTGGGGGTTGCTGGGGATTCAATCCTGGATCTCATGCATGCTAGGTAAGTGCTCTACCACTGAGCAACATCCCTAGCCCAGAATATAGCCTTTTTTGGTCTGGTTTAACTCACTTCACATAATGCATTTGAGATTCATCCATGTTGGTTGGGTATCAGTTGTTCATTCCTTGTTCTTATTGAGTTAATGTACCATACTTACACAACATCATTAGCTGCCAAAGTAGTCAGTTGAGTATATCTGAGGATGGCATACAAAGGATTTAGGCCTGTTCTGATGGGAGATTAAATGACCTCAACATGTCTTTTCACATCTGAAAATTTTAAAATCTTAAAGTGTCAGTGTACATGCTCTTACTTGGCAAGTACAGGTTATTCAGTAGACTGAAGGGTATAAATTGTAACATAATTATGTTATGAATAGTTCCTGAATTGCAAAATTCATAGAACAATGTAATTTTTTTCTTTTTTTTTTTTTAAATTT